CAATACGCTGCTTCGTATCACACCTCTTTTTTTTGCTCCAAGCACACAATGCACAATAACAAAAGCAGAAGTGATGTCCTTCGGTGAGGAGCGCATGGATGGGCTCATTTAAATGCTCTTCTGCATTAATAGTCGTCCTAGTGATAATATAAGGCCGCTCAGATAGCACCATTTTCAAAATGCACAGTGTTGGTGGTCTTAGGAGGAGGCCCATCCGACACGTCCTCTTATATACGGTATTACTCAAATGGAATGGAAGAATCTGGGCATACAGGAACGGTACACTGTCAAACGAGGCAAGCCGGGGGCGGGATAGGAAGAAGGAAACGAAAGGCGGGTAGGCAGGTAGGTGGGAAATCTCTTTAAAAATATATATGTATATATAGATATGGTTGACTCTATCAGAGCAATATTGTAAGGCAAGTGGGAAAGGAATTATCTGACATCATTTTGCTCTTATTTGCTGCCAATAAGCCATTTGCGTCTTCGGGGACGTAGAAACATAAAATCAAACAAATTCACCCGGATCCTCCTCAATAGTTCGGTTATGGAAGTTTCTTTTCACGCCGAGTTTTTTGGAGGGCAGGGAGGAGTGTTTGGAGCCGCTCTTAGATCGCCCAGTGCTCTGAGTGTTGCTCGAAGTTGAACCACTGACAACGCTGTTTGATGCAGATGCGGCGCTGCCTGGTGGCGGAGGAAGTGGAGGAGGCATGGCATACTGTGCCGCAGGCACAGATGGTGGGGGTGGCAGTCCACTTCCGAAGGGATGTTTCGGTCCATGATTTGTCGGCGCATTGATGGAGGGTGAAGTGATGGAGGTGGGAGAGAGCTCGGAGCTTCGAGGGGCCCGCATTGGTGGGGAGTGAATGTGCGAGTGCCCTGAAACACCCGATTTCCAGCCAACCTCGTTAGCTCTTACTTTCTCTGTGGTCGGTAGTGATTGACGTCGTTTGAACATTTGCCATAGCTTCTCCACAATCTCTGAGGCTACCAGTTCACCAGCGTTTTGGGCCACAAGACGAAGAATGAAAACGCCGTCTTGTCGAAGATAGGAGTCCACGAAGGCGTAGCTACGTTTCTTCTCGCCCGGCTCGAGAGAATCTCGAAGCTTGAGAAACTTCCGAATAAAGTGGATTCGGTTGGAACGGAAGCTGGACTTGTATGACCAGTACAGGAAGGAGCTGATACTTACAGCGGAGACGAGGATGAACCAAAACCAGAGGAAGATGAAAATTTTCTCATTAAACATATTTATGGGAAGGACACATTGGACAGTATAGCGATGGCTGTTGGCTAGTTTGCGGATTTCAAAATCACAAAGCGTGATACGAGGAAAATTGCCCGACTCCTCCCACAGATACCCCTCGGCAATATCGCGGATGAGGTCGAGGCCATAGAAGGTGTAGTTCGTGCCCAAAATTCGATTCATTAGAAAAAACTGCCCGACCACATTGAATATGTACAAGGCTTTGGTAATGAGGTAAAGGCAGATAAGGTAGTTGCCATACCGTTTACCGAACCAGAAGCAGCAGGAGCGCGCCATCGCCTGACGGCAGTTGACACCGCAGCCATCGCGGTACTCGCGTTGCGATGTCAGCGCATCCTCTATGTGACGCGCCACATAGGTGATGTTAGACTTCCGCGAGTCCGGATCGCGTATCATCTCAATGTCACACGACACCTCCATTATGCTCGAGAGCTGAATGCATAGAAGATACACCCTATTATAGTGGGCCTTTTTCTTTCTTGTGTCAACATTTATTTAAAACCGTCACATCCATAAAGGTTAGTTGGCATATATTGCATCAATTTTCTTATCTTTCCCTAGCAGTACCATATATGTACATGTGTATGTTGATTCCCAATTTTCGTATCTTAATCGTGCGTCACAAATATGTGACATGAATTCTACATAATTTGTGTCCACCAACTCGTACCCAATATAAAATTGTTCCATTTAAAAAAGTTGATAAAATGTGAAATTATTGGTTTTAGTTTAAAAATAATAATTTTTGCTTTTGAGCAGCGTTGAATGAAGTAATGGTGATCGGTATCATATTGAAACAGTGAATCATCTGGGCTGTAAGGGTTGGTAGTCCTTTGGGACCATTTTCGAAATTCAACGCACTATTGAATACAAAACCATGGTTTGAGGTAAACTGTGTAAATCAAAAACTTTTTTTGAACCCTCTGGCGATTTGAGGACATTGTCTGGGCACGGTTGTTTACGGACCGTCTTTTGATCCTTTCCGAAATGTAGCTTGTGGAACAACGCTCCTGTCTTACTTGGTTTCTTTCTACAATTTTCTCGATACACACTTGTAGAAAAAACCATATCTGGTATATGCTTAAATTTTACTTAAGGCTGTTCGTTCTTTAGGTGGAGGGATAGCGCCACGCAGCATGTAGCGGCCATAAACAGGTAATATTTCCCCCATGTAAATAATTAATCCAGTGATCCGCTTCTTTGCCTTCTCACCTGCAATTCACATTGTTAAAATTTCAACAAAGGAGTTGCTTGAGACGGCAACAAACAGACATTAAAGGCGAGGCACCATGGTGGAACATGTCATTACACCGAAGGGGAACAATCAAGGGAGTTGACTTGCAGACGTGCTGCCTAATTCTAAACAACTTCAAGCCAAAAAAAGAAGCATTGGGAAGTTCTTGTTGTCTTATTTAAAATCAAGGTTATTTTCAACAAACATTGACCTATTATTGTTTGAAGTGAGTGAGTATATGATGATGGGATAATTCTTTCAGTTGCTAATCTACACAATTTTTTGTTGTTGTTAAAGTGATTTCTGGTGGTATCTGGTGCTGATGATCTGCATAAACGCAAGGTTAGAACATGCGGAAATGCCTTGCGTGAAATTTCAGTGTACGAATTGGCTGTGAAAGGGCGGAGCTTTGCAAAAAATGATCAAACGATGTAGGATGGAGCGATTTTAAGAAGGTGGTAGATCTACCGTCTCTCTTGTTGAAAAAGGCAACAGAGAGTCATTTATATTACCTGACTTTTGGAATAATTAAATCATTCTGTAAGGAACAGAAATGGCGAAAATCGTAATGCAGTGTACCTTTGATCTGGGAAATGATTATTATAAAGGTGGAGGAAGACTTCGGTAAAAGCTAATGTGTTGAAAGTCCACTATTTAGCCCGAGAGGAGTTCCACAGTCCCAATGACTAACCAGAATTCCAGGTTTGAATTTGCCCTATTCTGTCCCATTGTAAATGTGCAGTAACAGGCGTAGGGAAAATTTATGGCCCTATTCAATGCAGGTTCTGCGACGAAGCCCTCTTATGATTTATAGCAGAAGGCAAAAGCCCCTTCCTACATACAGATACGTTTACCGGCCCTCAAGTTACAAGTGCATGTAGGGAGACGGGATAAATTATGTACCACTTAGACCATTGCCATGGTGATTGGGACATACGTAGGGAGGCTCTAAAGTGGCAGGTAGTGTAAACTGCAAACGGCAAATTCTTTGTGGCCTAGGGGACGCCCTCTTTCTCTTGTTTCAAACCAACAAAGTGTAAATCATTCTCATGAATACTGCGGGCCACACGCAGTGGAAGACATATAGCCGGCGTATGTAAGGGATGAATGAATGCATGGTGGTCAATTAAATGACGCCTCATTTACCTTCTACCCTCACGTAAGATTGTAATGGGAAACTTAACCACAGAAAACCGTCCAACAGTCTGCAAGTTATGTTAGACACTCGAAATGGTGAGTAATCATGTAATCCCATGTGACGCGACTTCGTCGAATTGTCTGGAGCCGTTGACAGACCATGGAACAATGCTGTAAAAGCTGTTTTAAAAACAATTATACTTTCTCCTGCAGTGAATAAAACTATTCCGAGGCCTTGTTGCAATTCAACAATCTCACGAAGTAAAGACATATTCCTAAATTTTTGTTATCACAAAGTGCTTTTGCTATTCTTTAATCCAGATTTAGATTGTTGTCTAAATGCCTCAAGGCTATTCAGGAGTGTGCCAGCGACTAATGCATCGACGAGACTCTCAACTCTTTTCTCAGCACAAGTTGGTGAGTGTAAAAAAAAACAAAGTAGCTGATTTGCTTTATTACCCTAATAAGAGGAGTTTTAGTGATTAAAATCCATCTGTGGCCAGATTATCAAGTTCTTTAGCGCCTTTCAATGCAAGATTGTCCCACCTCATTAAGACTTAGCAACAAATATGGCACATTAGATAGCCCCTTTCCACAATTAAAAGAACATCAAAATCTCACAAATAATGAGATGCTATTTTTCAAAAAAATTATTTCATTTGTTCCCAATAGTGTGAGTTAAAGCAAATATCTCGTCCCAATACCCTGTGGACGCACACACTGTCCGCAAGTAGACGGGACGAGGGATTCAAAAGGTCAAGATAAACAGGCGGCTCTGAGGCCCTTTCAACAGCAAATGTGCTGAAGGCAGCCTACTTCCCAAAACTAATCTAAATTTGGATTTTAAAGGTGGCTTTAATAATTTTACTTCCTTTTGGGTAACTGGCATTGTTTAAATAGTCGGGGAAATTCACTACCACAGAGACTAAGCGATCCTGATTACTATGACCAAAAATACCCGCGGATTTTTCCTTAATAACAATGTTTACATAATTTTTTTATCAACAACATGCACTTGCTTAAAAAAGGGATGATAATTACGTTTGACAGTTGACCGTGACGTTTGAAAAGAAAAGGCGGAGTAGGGGAAAATGCGAACATCTCAACATCATTGAAATGGCAAAAAGAGGAGAGACAAGAGGCCGGAGAAATAATACGCAGTTACTGAATAATACGAAGCTTTATTGCCTGCTTTAGATCTTAGACAAAAAAAAATCCTCGAAAATTGTTTTGAAATACAAATGCTGTTGGGACGCACGAAACGAGCTTCCGGTTCGGTTCACTGCTGTGTGGTGTGCACCACTTCGAGAGGTCGCTTCATTTTGGGCCGGTCAAAAATGCCTATACATCACTTTTTATGCTTAAAAAGAAAGGCTTATTCGCTTGAAGCTCAGTGCCATCAACTTTTAATGCGGAATGCAGCTTTGCCAATCGGACAACTGGGAATTTGGAAACTACTTTGATTCAACGAGCGCTTCAAACAATAGGGCATTTGCACGTCAAATGATTAACCCCTGTCAAGAGCGGACCTCTCTTTTTGCTGGTTAAAATAGCTCATTACGACCTCCAACTCAGATCCCATTTCCGTAACCGAATCTCCAAATGGGTAAGTGTACGTTTGCTTGTTGATGTGTCGAGTCACGGGGCCAGGCTTATCGAGATGTAAAAATAAGGCTTAAAAGTTAAACCTCGGAGGACACGAAGGGTGGAGGGCATGAATACATACACGCCTACGGACAGGGATCGGGTCAACTTCACAGGTGGTCGGTCGCGAAAATCGGTCATGCCATAAGGTGGTGGTAGTGGTAATGTGCGTTCTCAGAAGTGTCGAACTGGCCAGTTGCATGGCGAACAAATTGTCATAGGCGAGTAAAAGACCGTAGAAGGTGCACTTTTATCCCCTTTTTTCCCTACTACCAAAGCAAGTTGAAAAGGGATAATATGGGAGAGAGGAGAGGAAGAGAGGGACATTTACTCTAGAAGGCGTGTATACCTTGCTTGTACAAATGCATGTACGTGGAGCAGGAATGATATTTGAATAAAGGTACTTGAAAAGGCTACCAATTCGTCACAGAAACAAAGTACTATCTTCATTTATGGGAAAAAAAATGCTATTTTGCCCGTGCGTGTACGGAGTGTGGATAATAATAACTGAAATTCTGCAACCACAACTCAATTAAGTGGATCACTTTCGATACACTTTCTGTTTTGTTTTCTAGGGCGCGAACCTAGATATGGGGTCAGGTAGTCTCTTCAAGTCGTTTATTGGTGAGAGCGTAAAACAGGTTGATGACTGGACGCTTATCAGGATTTCCTATTGAGCCCCCTTCTGAGTAGTCCTGAACAAGAAATTAGTCATTCATGAGGGTTTTAAAACCGAAAATCGGTCCCTGTTGGAGTGTCGAAGTAGACGTTGGCGTAGGCAAGTTATTCATGAGGGAATCTAGTTAGTAGACCTACTTCAAAGTGCGGTCCTGTAAACTCTCGTGAAACACTAGCCTAAAAATGCCACAAAAAAGGGAGAACCATTATAAAATAAAAAAATAATAATAATAATAAAAAGAGCTAAGAATATCAGAAAAGGGAACAAAATGGGACACAGGTACATTTAACTACTAGAAGCCTTCAATCAGCCTAGTAATGTCCAAATGAAGCAAGATACTTCGTCCTGATAGGAGTTATTAATGAGAAGCCCACTGATGCTAGATGTCTTCGAAACTGGTTTCGTAATGTCACCAACAGTTGCAGTTGACAGTTCCTTAAGCATGTCAAAGTAGTGGGCTGTTTGGACAGCCTAATGAATGGTCTTGTCAAAATCCAGCATCCACACAAGCGCCGTCGTCAGTAGGGTTTGGTGATAGCAACTGTCTCCACCACCCAAGCACTTAGGCGGGCATGGACTTCCGCGATCAATGCATTATCCCCATGTTCCATTTTTTTTTCAAAACAGGGTATTATTATCCCCTTTCATATCATAATGTCTGGTTTAGAAGCAATGGGACGTGCCGACCGACCTGAATGAAATTATCTGCGATTGCCATTATCCCCTACCAAGATTACTTTGTCTGAAGGAATAACTTTTATGGCTTCCGACGCCGCTGCGATGTAACAAGAAGTCGCAATTGAGTCCAAACCGTTTATGCTCCAGCATGATGCTTTGAGGTAAAAAAGGAAATCTTGTGTCTACATTGTGAAGCACAAGTGTAAAAGTGGAATCCTTTACAGTAAGTAAAATGTTCTCTCCTGAGGGAGGGTATAAAAGGCGCCTTTCAACGACATTTACAAGAAAAGATTTCAATTCTGACAATTGAAATACCCTGGTCGGTTGGTGCCTGGCTTTGATGCCCACTCATGACAAATGAGACGTAGCCAATAAGGCGAAATTCGTCTTTCCATGTAAAAAAGCTAAGTCCTGTATCCTTTACAGCAGGCAGGATAGGAGTGCCAACTTTATCCAAACAGTAGGGACTTGCGTTAAAGACACTACGAATAGGACATCCATTTCAAGGGATCACCGTCGACAAATTTCCTGTAACGTTCTGCTGGATTAAAAATACGATTCCGATGAAAGTTTTTTTGCATTTTTCTAATTTTATTGCAAACTAAGAGTTGCAAGTGCTTTTTTGATGGCCAATGTGACAGCGGCGTTTCTGCTGACCTCCATATTAACGTTCTTGTTCACAAGTCAATATGCATAACTTGAGGCACACAACTTAAAGAAAAAAATTTCTAAAAAAAATTTCCGCCTTTTCTTAAAAATGTAGTACTTTTGTTTCGATGATTTAATTCGTGATTATGCACCATCCGAGAACATTTGAGGCTGTCTATGCGGTTAAAACATTGGAGCGACATGGAAGTTTTAGGAGCCCGTGAAGTTGGATCTTTCTTACTGCAAAGGTGATTGTATAAACAATCGGAGTGAACTTAATCCGTTTTCATACCTTCTAGTTAAACTAGAAGGAGATACTAAATGCTAATTTTATTTCTGTAAATGGAATTGGATTTAAAGCGCCTACGAAGAGATTGCACAAACTAGGGCGGAAACACCTGCGAGTAGGGCAGTGTGGCCAAGACGGACTTAAACAATGGGAAAATTTGTGACTAAGCATAAATAAACATTTAAATATGCGGAGTCTTTTTTTGTGCACCGGTAACACCCGTTTTGCTCAAAACACGCAGGGCTCTAAGAATGAGGGGGATGGTGTGTGTGTGTGTATGTTTCACTTAACTATAACAGTAGGAGAAGTAACAAAGAATTATGTAGGCTTACTTCGTTGCTATGACTAGTATTGAATCGTCGCTATGACAATTAAATTCAATCCCCCTGCTTTCTAATTCAATGGTTTAATCAAATTGGCCCTTGTTTACCCCCACAGTCCGGCTGCTAGACACACCCAGGTTAGTAGTAAGACTAAATTAAAATAACTTCCTTAGTACATATAACAGACACAGGTCAGGACTCAAAGATGAAAATAAAGTAAATAATCATTCCATCATGATCTAGAATGCTTTCCTTATTTCATTCACCTTTAAGTCGTCATGATCAAGATCCAGACGGCAACGCATCTACGGTTGCCACGAGTGCAAAGACGCATGGGAAAAGGATTTCTCAAATGCCGACGGACACAGAACAGCCCATGGGTAATTCCAAATCACCAGACTGGGCTGACAAAGCCAGTCTCTAATAGTCGCTACATTTTACTTGGTTCCGGTTGTTGGGATCTAAAATGTCAGGAAGAATGCTGTCCATGAGGAAGAGACTGCAGGAAGTCGTCCTATGATAATTACGCCTCCAAATGCCTGCTTAGCCTTTTTCCGAAAGTTCAAACTTTCCGTAGCATTTTTAAACCCCAAGGTATATTCAAATTTTGCAACATTTGGGACACGGATTCAAGGTTTCACTTATTATCTATCATTCCGAAAAAGTAGCATAGGTCTATATAAAAATAGGGTACAATTCAGTTGAGCCGCATAAAAATGCAAGAAAAGCATCTTTCTGCCATGAAAATATTCTTGGAAAGGACATTTGCTTTCTGAAAAGAGATACATGACTCTTCAATGCCTGACAGGTGCTGTCACACAGAGCACAAACCGATTCAACGACACTCGGAACATAAAACCCTTTATATTTTACGTTTAACTTGATTTTTACTCTAAAGAAAAACCAATTTTGACTAAGTTGTGACATTTAAGAAAAAGTTGATTTTGGACAGTTAACTGTTTGACAGGGCCAGGAGGCTTGTTTGGGTTCACCTTTCCGTGTGCACCGAAAGTCATGCGTCATTTTACAATTGTTTTAGGTGGTGCTTTTCCCCTAAAAATGCTTGATAATCTTTCTGTGGAAAAGGCATGACTGGGCGACTCGCATCAGTGCCATCGAGAGGCTACTTCGACTTGAGGTCCTAGGCTTATCACTAAGCCGGGATAAAGCTCATCCACCTCAGCGTCTTTCGCTTGCACACAGTTCTCAAGGCAAACAAGCGACTTTGGGTTGAATTGACAATGACCGTCAACACCCCCGAATGCCACAGCTAACAGGAAAGACTAAGGAGGATAAATGATCTTTGCGTTGCTCCTCAACAAAAAAAAACGTTACTCTTGAGTTCTCGCCTTTTAACTTATCGATGCCTCCGGGAGTATGGAAGTAGAAACTACTGGTAATTTCTCTTTTTTACCTTAAAAAAATATTGTCGCAGACTGCAGACTAATCAATGTCATCTCAATTTCTTTCCCTACAATAATTGTTGATCCGGTATTGACGCACTGGAATGAAAGGGTGGAAGAAGGGAGATTGGAACGCGTTTTGTAATCAGTTGAGCATTTCACTAATGTAGCATTAAATTTTGTAGCTTTTAGTATTTAACCGAGATAAGTGTTTCCTATCTCAAGCACCTACTGGGTATAAAAGTGGCGGATGATAGAAAGGAAGGAAAGATGGACGGATGCATTATGGAGGCTCTCAGCTCTTCACAGCTGTCGCCAGTATTGCAATAAATCATTTTCACCTTCTTAATTTCTCCAGTAAGAAGCTAAAAACCCCAAACCTCTCATGCGAGTCTGCTATACAGTAAGAAAAACTCCTCCAGTTCAACAAGGCATCGCTGGTCCCACTCCAATGCACCATTATCAGCATCACGACAACTCACAAGTGTGTAGAGGGAAGTTATCAAGCAAGTTCGGGGCTTTAAAGCAAATAAGCCTCTTTAACGAGCTTAAACGCTACAAAATTAAAGTAACTGCCCTCGCCTATATTCTCTGAGAGACTCGCATGGAGACCAACAAATTCACAATTACGGCCAAACGAAATGCAAAATACTCATTTGAATGGACATTTTTAAAAGTTAAAATCAGGTTTCCCATCTTACTTAGGGACGGTGTATTACTTTAATAGACAGCAACCCCAGTTATCACCCCTCATAGACATTCAGCAAACTTATTGACCTTCTATCCAACAAGTATCTTGTACTTCTTCCCAACTAACTCAACACCAATCATGGTGTTTGAAGAATCGCAATTAGAAGTTTCCGTTTACCTCTCGGAAGAATTGGTAGATTCAAGTATATTTCTGTTTTTAGGGAAAAAACCTCCGCCTCTCCTAGTACACGATACGGGGAGCAAAAGTACACACGAAGTAGATGTTCCATAAATCTGACAATGCCCACGCAAAATCCCCTGTTTAGTCATCTCCTTTCAAGCCGGCCTTTCACTGCACAGTCCCCACTCCACAACAAATTAACTGACTACGATGCCAGCGGTAGAATGAATCAAGTCGGTTCCATTATCACTGGGTTCAGTGATGGTCAACTTACTAATTGAAACATGCTTATGTTTCCCTAGATAACATCAGTGTGGAGGAGACGTGTGCATCCACTTCAAAGAACTCTCGCGTCGTGTAGATAAGAGAATGCTCTGCGTGGTCTCGCCTACTTGCCTGTACTTGGGTTTCAAAGGCCATGCTCCTAATAATCTACGAAACTCAAACAATTTAGCTCATAATTTACTGAAGTTTTTAAATAAAAGTTTTGTAGACTCCTGCAAAAGAAGACGGCATTTCCAAACTAAGATCTCAAAACAGGAGGCAAGTATTAATAGCACCTGTCAACCGTATGAACCAGTGGGAAGGGGAGAGGAAAAGCATCTCGTTATCTGTACGCAAATTCATCAATTTGTGAAAAAATTTAACTTACAAAAGGTAATTTCAGTGCAAAAGGGAGAAGTGGTTGAGTTAGCGGATATTTTTCATTTCGCTGAAACCCGAGGCAACTTTACTGACAATATTATTCAAACGATTACGACGCTCTCTCGGAAAAGCTTCTGCCATTGTATTGAAAAATACAAAAAATGCCGCATAGCTGCCTAGGACAAAAATAATCCTCCTGATGTTGCTTAATGATAAACGCAAGTTGGTCTATAAAATAAGGTGTTTACATGAATTCCCGATTGCCAATTAAAAAGTCGCCAGATGATGCAGGGCAGATTGAAGAGGAAGGCCTGGATCATGAGAACGAATGGAACCCACTGGTAGTAGAGGATTTTTCGCTCCTCACGCTCCTGTGTCGACTCTGGCACGGTTTTCTGCTTAGTGGGCAGAAAGTAGGTACTCGTCACCCAACACACCGACTCCGCGTACTCCTCCTGTGCCCGTGTGAACTCTGTGGGCACCCAACATGCTATGGGCTTGCCAATGTACTGCCTCGCGGACACCACCAGTGTGAAGATGACCAGCAGGAGAGTGGTAAAGTTGTGGCTAAACCGATCAGCGAAATCGTCGTCACGTCGATGCTTCCCCGCGTCGAGCTTGAACTTGGTCAAGCCCGCGAAGAAGTGTGTGTCCATGGCGGCGACTCAGAGTGGGGACGAGGAGGAGGAGGAGGAGGAGAAGGAGAAGCAGGCAATCTATCCTACTACTGATACCCCACTGGGCAACGTCATGAGCAGTGACTGAGCGAGGGACAATGCCATGCGTGCAGGGCAATTGAATGTGAATGGGAGTGCGTGTTGGGGTGTGTGTGTGAACACAGCACACATGCCCTGATGTAATGTAATCAGCGCTCCCGCCTATGAGACGACTGATTGGCCAGTAGCTGGTTGGCTGGCTGGCTCCGATGATGCAACGGGATGCGGATGTGCTTCTATCCACTGGCACTGCTGCTGCCTCTACTGCCACTGCCACTACCGCCGCCGCGAATGACGATTATGCATGCCATTCCTGAAGGCACTCTCCTCGCTCCTCCCCATTGTAATGCACAAATTAATGACATGTAATTACTACATCTCGTTAACCATGGCCAAAAAACCCCGTGACAGAACAAAAACGTAGAATGAACGACGTTGATCGCGGCACACAAAATGTTTTTTTAATAAATATTATTTTATAAACCGCTTCGACATTTTTTACTTCCAAAAAAATTACTACCAAGAATAAGTATAGAATTTATTCACTTTTTTCGTGAAAATTTCTGCTTTGAGAAGGGGGAGGGTGATTTTATCGGCGCTGCGGCTTGAAGCTGGCGCCAAACGTGTTTTTGACGGTTAAAGATTAGGCGAATAAAAATAATAGTAGGCCAGTGTTTTGCGCTTTTTTACCATGCGGATGCCGAATGCATGGGTGATTCGAGAACCACTCCTAGTTCGGCAGTATACTTGACAATCAGGATATATTCTCCCGTCATACTCATTCCCGAATTTCATTTAAATTTGTGTGTGCGTGCGTCCGACAATCATGACTTTCCGAGAATGTTCCCAGGTTAGGTTTGAAGCCCACCTTGTTTGTTTATTTCACATGTTTGCCTAGAAAACTCTTTCACAACAATGACGTTTATTCGAGCTCTGAAATCTGTTTTTATCCTCAATCCCAGGAGGCAAAATATATTCACACTGTGCATCACACAATAAGGCAGTATGGAGGAAATAATGGGGGGGGGGGGTATGACACAGTTTCCCCCTCTAATTTAGTGCCGCATCCAGGAAGTAAAATTAACGGGGCAAAATTGCCTGCTATAAATTAAAAAGAGAACCAAATGGAGCTGTAGGCATCGCGCGAACAATATTGAAGTAAAATAGTCACTCTGCATTTGGAAAAAGAACCAAAAGCTGATAAACACAGTGTCCGTCATCTTTTTCTTCACATACTTCATCTTCTGAATGGAATACAACACAAAAAGGTGTTTCAAGGACGGGAAAATGTGCGGGTGCCGGGTCGGAGTGATTGCGAGAGACCGAACGGCCCAGGCTCTGGTAGTAGTCCCGGTATGCGTCTACCATGGGGATGTGGCACAGGCACGCCTAGAAACTTGATGCTATAATTAATTGCCATCTTTGACTTCTGTGCCACGCGGTCGCGCCAAATGCCCACACCCGCCATGTGCCTCCTGCCCACTGCGACTTTACCACCGATTTTAGGTGA